AAAACTGCCCCTCTGCAATTCCAACCCCACTCTGAGCACCCCACCCCATGTCCATCTCCCTTACATCCCTTCCCACAGTAGGGTGCACCCCATTCCCAGCCTCTCCCCACTTCTCCCCCTGTTCTGCCCCCCCAATACTCACCCAAGGTCACCCTCAGAGGGGAATCCCCCAGGCTGCTGTGTCTCACCACACACACATGCTCTGTGGGGCCAAACCCCTCCTGCCCCAGCTCAATGGACACCTGGATCTGGAAGATGGGGTCCCCATTTGGCCGGATCCCACTGGTCAGCTGCTCCCCCAGGGCCACCTGGCCCCCCCGCTCCCAGGTCACCTCGATGTCACGTGGATAGAACCCTGTCACTGGCATATGAGACAGCACGGCCAGTCCTGGGTCCCTGGGATGAGGGCCAAAGGCACTGTGGGTTGGGTTGGGGTGGAGGGCGAGAAAGGGTTATTAATGACAGCGAATGGGAGAGCAGGGGGCTGTGGTTTGGGATTGAGGGGCACTGGCAGTACTGTGGGGTGTTGGGGGGGCAGCCCAGGGATGGGAGAGCAGTGGGCTACAGGTCAGGGGTGAGGAGCACCAGTAGAGCTGTCACCTGTCTTCTGAGCGGCGTATGGCACAGAGTTTTCCAGCCAGAACCTGCATCGCTGGGGGGTGAAGAGTTTCATTCCAGCTAAAGTCTCCCCTTCACGGTTCCAACGCTCCGCCAATCTCCAGACCGCCGGTTGCACCAAGAACCAGTGCTTCTGGTCGGACTGGTACCACAGCAAGTCCTCCTCATTGAGGGAATATCTGGTGATGGCTCGGATGGCACCAGTTGCGTCATCCAGCTCACAGGCCTTCAGGACCTGCAGGTAGGCAAAGTGGCTGTGTGAGCAACTGAGCATGGATCTTCCACCAGGAGGTGAGGCAACTGAAGCTGTCCCATGCATGGAACCCAGGAGTCCTGAGTCCCAGCCCTGCCCCCTGCAATCCATCAGACCATACTCTTCTCCCAGAAGTGGGATAGAAACCAGGAGTCCCAGCTCCTAGCCACCCTCCCCACTCTAACCACTAGGTATCAAGGAAGTCACTCCCCTCTGGTGTCCTTTCCCCCAAATCCCAACTACCTCCTTTGAGGTGCCTGGCTATCCCCTTTATGAGCCAAGCTCAGTGCTGGGGCCAGGGACTCACCTGTCTTTGGGGAGCTGTTGTTGACCTCCCGCACCACGGTCTGGTACTCGGTCTCTACCCAGGAAAACCAAGCCCAGTAGCAAGCTGTACCAACACTCCAGAACTTGTGAGACTTCTGGTCACCCTGGGTGTATCCACTGTGGGAAGCCAACCTGCCGGTGTTGCTGTCATAGGCTGTGAGCACCAGGTCATTCACCTTCATGACTTTCAGATGCTTGGGCAGATCAGGGGGCCCCTGGGGTGAGATTAGCTGGAAGCAGGAGAGATGCTGAACTTCTGCAGGAAGGAGAGAGACAGCAATGGGAATAGGACCCAGGCCTTGCAGTACCCAGCCCTCAAGGAGAGAGACTGGGATGGGGAATGGGACCCACACCTCTGGGAGAACAGGGGTCACACACCAGCCATGGTGATGGTGCAGAGAGACAGGAGCCAGAAGGAAACCAAGACAGGTTTGTCCCAAGAAGCCATTGCCCTGGATGGGACGGGACAGCGGTTCTACAGGGTGGGGTCTAGGGCCAGGATCCAGAAAGCTGGAGAGGCACAGCCACCCCTCCCTGCACTGAGCTCTCTGCTGCTCAGACAGGAAATACAAGAGGGGAAATGCAGACCCACAAGCTGAGCAAATTTCCATAAACACAAATCAACTATCCCTTCCAGGGCCGGATTAACTTTCTGTGGGCCCGGCGCCAAACATATTTGTGGGCCCCCATTAGGCAAATAGGGCATGTGATGGGGGGCGGTCCACAGAGCGAGGGGCCGGTTGGGGGCAATGAGGTGCAGCACAGTGGGAGTGGCCCCACTCAGCCAAGCAGGAGAGCACTGTTTACAAACCCACAACTGCTAGACACACACTGGCCCGCCCGGCCCTGCGCTACCAGCGTGCCCCTTCCACACTGCCCCCCTGTCCAGTGCCCTGTCCTTATGCCAGCCCCCCTCACCTGGAGACCTCTTCCACAGATCCCTATGCCCAGCGCCCCTTCGCCCAGAGACCTCCCCCACAGATCCCCTATGCCCAGCGCCCCTTCGCCCAGAGACCTCCCCCACAGATCCCCTATGCCCAGCGCCCCCT